TTTTATTAGCTTCAAGAGCAGACATATCTGTCTACCCTCTTGCGCTGTCGACGACCTTCATCGCGATTTGTGGCGTTACCATTGTCACTCACTTTTTTCACACAAACCACACTCACTGTATCCACACGCGAAACTGAACTCGAGGTGTTTTAGTTTTCATTAGCACGCATTAAGGACCGGATTCCATGCACTGGACAGTTTAAAACCATCATCACGGTTTTGTACTTCGTGATCTCGATGGCTTCTCGTACCAACCATGGTATGTAGTGACTTTCTGGCGACAGTACCCGGGGGCTATGCAACTCGATCCAGTGGTTAGTGTCAGTCTGCGTGAGTGTGTAACCGTTCCGAAATATCGGGGAAATAAAAGCACCCGCGGTACAGGATTTCCCTAGGGGCTATGAGTGTTGTGTTAAAAAATAATAATAACATCGAAGACTCTTCGTTTCTATATGGACTCTGAAGTTCTTCATTAAATTGTATAGTATGCAATGATAGTTATCGGTGCCATTATTGATGAGCTCTCGCTAATTCGAAGCAAAGTATACTCAACAGCAACTGCCTCCGTGGTAGGAGAAATATTTATTTAGCCTTCTTTTATTTATCTAATGGCTTCGGATGTAATTCGTGCAAGTCTATGTGTGTGTCATACAGGGTTTCCCTAGGTCGGGGTTATGAATATGTGCGTTATTATTATTATGTGATTATTATAAACGAACTAGTGGAATAATTTCACAAAGGATATAAAAAAATAACAGCTGTTAAATAGGATGATAATGACCATCTAAAAATGCGGTAATAACAACTCTGAATAAATATTAATCACCCAACGAGTTCACTGGAGTGCATTTCACCGTATGTTATTTTTTAATTAAGCCCCGTACACACTACACGCGGCTAAGTGGTCCTACACACGAAAATTGTTTGCACAAATTTGATATTACTTGAGAGTTCCGTCCGTAAATTTCAATGGAAATAGGATTTAGTCGGGGTTGGAATTTCTGTGATGACATCACTTACAAGTATTAACCCTCGACGAAAAATAGGCGAAACGATTACTAACCGACTTCAAAAAAAGGAGGAGGTTCTCAATTCGACTGTATGTTTTTTTTTGTATGTATGTTACGCGATAACTCCGGTGTTTGTGAATCGATTTACATGATTCTTTTTTTGTTGAAAAGAGGGTACCTCCATAGAGATCTCATTTAATTTTGAAGAAAATCATCCATCTCTAAGGGTGGCTGTTAACACATGAGGATTCATTTTTATAAATAGCGCATAAATTTTATTGTAAGGAGCAATTATTTTAATGGCTGATTTTGCTATTCTCCAATTCAAGGCGTTTTACTCTCAGTATACCTATACTTTTAACTGCCTCCGTGGCCGAACGGTTACCATGCCGGACTGCCACGCAGAGGTCCTAGGTTCGATTCCCGGGCCGGGAGAAATATTTGTATGGCCTACATTTATTTCTCTCGTGAGTTTGGGTGTAATTTGTATTTGTCTATGTATGTGTCCATGGCACCCGCGACACAGGGTTTCCCTAGTGCGGGGCTATGTTGAGTGTGTGCGTTATTATTATTATTATTATTATTACTTTGAGTAGTGAGAACCGATTTTTATTATCTCCTGTATCAAGTTCCGTATAGTCGTGAACTAGGGGATGAATCCGGGTTTGCGCACTTTCTGGTAACCGATTTCAATAAAACTTGGTAATTATATGTAGTTCCACGTACTTTTGAGGTCGGTTTTTTTAGTACTCTGTACTAAGATTATATTAAATAGTGACAGACATAACATTAATACGAGGAATAAAAATAAACTAGCTGTTCTCGACAGTCAACTTCACAAAGTCGCAAATTTATTTAAGAGGAAATGTATACGCTTCTATAATGAGATTCCGGTTGAAATACAAAATTTGCCATTAACGAGGTTTAAAACTATTGTCAAACAATAGCTTTTTCTCATTATACAACTTCTGCGTACTTGGATAACAAGAATCGGAATCCGACCCGTTTAGCCCTTGCAGGTAATCTCAATCTAAGACATTTGAAATAAATATTGTAAATGTTAAACACATTGAAATTATATTTAAAAGAGCACCACCTGCCACCTTACCTATTTCTGCCGTCAAGCAGTAATGTCAGCATTACTGTGTTCCGGTTTTGAAGGGTGATTGTGAAATCACAGGCACATGGGACTTGTCAACTTATGTCTCAGGGGGACGGGCGCAGTGGCAGTGCCCCACAGAACTTTGCTATTTGAAGCTCTGAGTGGCACTGTAACTGTTATGGACACGCGTGGTAGCTTACCATCAGACGCACGACCTTTTCGTCAAATCACTCGATATTATATATATAAAAAAACATAAGTTAAATCCTATATTCAAAGTATTTTAATTAAAAAGAAACATTACAAAAATTTCTATAAAAAAAAGACCTCGAAAATTCATTGAATTAACTACATCTATTTGTTTCATTGAAATCGATTACCGGAAAGTGAGCGAAACCTCATTCATCCCCTAGTTTGCCACCCTTACCCAATATTTTCTTAAAATGTAAAGCCCCCTTCTTCTTTTTTCTTATCGTGTCAATACTTCTTTTATTATAGGACTATATTGGCCCTGAATAGTACGTTGCTATTTTGACTGCGCTGTCCGTAACCGCGTAGAGATCTTCCCTCGTACATGTATTAGGACACAAGGGGCACAACAGCAAGTGCTGCATGGACTGCGTTGGGGCACTGCAGTCACATTGGGTTTGACTAGTACGCTTGAAACCCCATTTACACATCGTGTCTCTGCAGCGTCCTACCTGAGTGCGAAGGCGATATAACCGCTCACGCGATACATGCAGCCATGGACGCATACCACACCTAGAGGTGCCGGTGATGATTTTATACCGATTTATCGGATATCGAAGTTATAACAGGTAAAAGGACTAATATTAATTGCTATTTCGGTAACTACTCTAGCAAACCATAAAGTTTTTAATGCCTGGGTCTGTCATTTAAAAAAATAAACAACTTCAAAAATACGTCACGACAATCGTGTGTGTAATTGTTTGGGCTGGTGATTTCGGTGTTTATTTATTGAAAATATACCGTAAGTAGCGTTTTTTAAGTTTACCCTGAATATAAATGTTTATAAACTATACATTAAGGAGTAATTTCATGGTAAACGTTAGAACCACTCAAACGGAATATTATCATATTTATCCACGACACTAAAAATTTCATTAGTGCTTTTTAAGTGCAGGATTTGCGGTGTATGTATTACTGCATTTTATTTGAGATGTTTTTGTTGGTAGTACGAAGGGTATTTATTTAGCAATGCAGAATAATAATTTTTATTTATAAAAACTTGTATTTAAACTAATTTGCGAAACCAAATACCCGACATTTTGCGGTAGGAGGAGCGCATCGCGTGAGCGGTTAAGGACACTCCACACTGGCCACCGCATGTCGCAACCTGGTGGTAGTTGCTCTTGAGGTACGATGAAACCAGGTGGTGCGGGATTTTTCCGTTTCCACAATGCACATCTAGTGACAGTTAGATGGTCACTCGTTTGTGGTGCGCAGGAAACTTTTACGGCTTTTGAGGCGAGCTCGGAGAATTTGATGTTATGGTGGTGGTAGTAAATGGCACTAATACACACCCTCTTTTCAACAAAAAAGTATACATACAAAAAAAAAACTACTGACTCCGTAATTAGAAATGTTGAGAGAAAGTACGGTCTATAGACGTATATTAATTTATAATAAAATACCAGACTTCCTTAATATAAAAGAAAATGACAACATAATCAAAACTAAATTAAAGTCTCTTCTGATAAATGGGTGCTACTACAGCGTGAGAGACTTCATGTACTCTCCTATAAGATGATTTAAAAGGAGTTATAAACGCAACTCTTCAATAACATAACGTGTCCATTTTAAGACCGTTAGTTTATGTTCTGTTTTTGTAAATTATTCGAAATCATTAATTTACTACACCCCAACGGGGTATGTTAGTAATTGTAGCCTGTGGTTAAAGTTGGATATAAATAAGACTGCCGTTAAACAATAATATCATAACATATACGAGGGCGGTTTGATAATGATGGCTTATGCTTTTACATGAATTTCATGTTAGAGCTCTTACACATGATGCGGCATCGTTTCACATTGCGACATCATATCGTGGAAATCAACGACGAGCAACGTAAACATTCACGATACCACATCGCAACGTGTCACGACCATACGACGCACGGTACGACGTCGTATCGTAGAAACCCACGGTGCGCTCCCCAGTGCCACATTCATTTGTTATTCAATATAAAGATGACTTTGCATTAATATTTACTAATTTAGTTAAGCTCCCCGAATTTTGTGAAAAAAAAAGAAACTTATAATTAAATTCTGAAAAAAAACATTGTTAATTTTTTTTATGAGCCTGTGCAGTCCCACTGCTGAGCAAAGGCCGCCCTCCCCTCTCTGCACACCTCTCTATTTTGCGCCACTGAGGTCCAGTCCTTTAGGAATCGACGCCTTGGCCTTTCTATCTTCGGGGATCCATTCTGTGGTACCCTTCGCCAACGACTCGTCTGACATGCGACAGACGTGACCCGCCCAGTCTCGTTTTAGTTTACCGGCTAGTTGGCCCACATCTACGAATCGTGTTTTGGAGCGCAGATCACTGTTCCTAATTGGGTCTGACAATTTAATTCCCAGGATGCTGCGCTCCATAGCTCGTTGGCAGACCCCAAGTTTGAACTTTTGCCGTGCTGTCAGTGACCAGGTTTGTGCGCCGTAGGTGAGCATGGGTAGAATACAAACGTCCATGAATTTCTTTTGAGCGTGAGCAAAAAAAATTTAGAAACAAAAATAAAAACAGATCCAAAAATTAAAATGGCGTAGTGTTCAATGGAGATATCGAAATATTACAAACCTATGCAAAGAAAAGGCCGCTGCCTATACAAAGGTGATACTAACCATTCATCAAAAAAGGAAATAGTTACCTTAATTCCCTTAAGAAAGCGCCAAAGAAAGGTATCAGCCGGCACTCCGGCATCGCCAACGCCCGTCCCAAAGCCCGTTCGTATTCAGCCGATAATAAAGCAGCGGAGAGGAAGTCTAACGATGGCAGAGACTCGTCTGATATACTGAACCAGAAGGACTTTAGTTTGTTGGATCTGGAATAGAAAGAATAGATTTTTTAATGCCTTTTAAATTTTAAATTAACACCTTATATACTATCGTCGTTACCATTAAGCAATCACCCTCAGGATTAATTTAATTTAATTAAATAAATTTTAAAAAACAGCTCTATCAGCCTATTACGGGTATGCGTTTGCATGGTTAAATTACGGCTTGATGCTATGGGGAAACAGTGCCCAGGTGAATGATCTCTTTATTCTACAAAAAAAGTGTGTACGTGTGTACATCACGAATATTAAACAGATGGATCTTGTTGACCACTTTTTAAAAAATTACAAATATTAACCCTACCGTCTATGTACATATTTGAAATGGCTAAATTTATTAGAAAAAATAGTGAACTATTCATTAGTGCTGCATCCACTTCTATAAGACCGTCTAGATATAAGAATATATTAAGCCTTCCGCAAAGTACATTAAGCATCTATTAGAATAGTCCGTATTATAATGCGATAAAGATTCACAATAAACTACCCGAATACCTAAGATGTGAGACAAATTACAAAAATTTCACAAAAAAATTAAAAGTGTTACTAATTGACAAGTGCTATTATAACTTAAATGGATTTTAAATTGACAATCTTGCGTAGTTTTTGGTTAAATTATGTTGTTATGTTGCGTTAGGTATTTGACGAAGGCTCATGATGGATAATTGACATGTTATTTTAATCGAAATTGTACTTTTATTATTATATTTTGTAATGTGTGAACAATAATGTAAGCCAAAATGTGGCGACTAAGTGCCATACCCCTGCGGGGTGTCATAGCAATAAGTACTAACCTAATGGAACGTGTATTGTTATGACTTGCATTTAAAATAAATAAAATAATAATAATTTTACGTCCACCAATATATCCTTGTGTAAGAGTTCGTCCAGGGAAGTAGTTTTAGCAGCAATTGCAACGCTACACTTGGGATTTATAGGCGATTGCATCGATGCAAGCGCACGTGTGTAACTACTCTAACACCGGACGACGTAACCGCCTCCCGTACCCCGCACACCGCATCGTACGGAGTCACTGCCCCCGCACCCCGCGCACCCCGTCGACCTACCCACTCGCTGATACCCATACTAGTTGGGCGAACGGCCGACAATGTATAAGTATGACGGCGCTACTGGCGTTGGTGGAGTTCTGTTGATTATAAGGTTGTCGGGAGAGTAGTATAGTTACCTCCGCAGCCTCTTACGTAGTAAGTTTGAAGTTCAGAGTTCAAAAGGGTAAGGAATTAGCGGTAATAAATCCAATTTTATAAATATTCATTCCAGTTTTAACAATATTTATGATCTTTAAAATGTTTATCGTACAAGAGATTTTTAATAACTGGTAAACTGTTCAAAAAAAAATAAGAAGAGAAGACGTGTTCGCTGCCGCAATCGGGCTGGGAGTGGCGATGGAACGGAAACAAAATCAGAATGCGAGGCAATAGAACTATGGAAATTCAAAAATTAAATTAAATACGAGTGGCTAGGAACCGGAGAAAGGCGATAAAAAGGTGGGATGATGATGTAAGGAGGTCACATACTCATAAATCCGCACCAGGGAAACCCTGTATTGCGGGTGCTATGGACACATACACAGACAACCACAAATTACACCCAAACTCACGAGACAAATAAATGTAGGCCATACAAATATTTCTCTCGGCTCGGGAATCGAACCAGGAAATTCTGCGTGGCGGTCCAGCATGGTAACCGTTCGGCCACGGAGGCAGTTTGAGCAATAAACGCAGTTTAGTCGCAGTAAAGCTCCTTGTGAAAGAGTTCGTCCAGGGAAGTACTGCCACCTTACCTATATAAGGGGTGAAATTACAGGCACATGGGCGTCGTCAACTTATGTCTCAGGGTAACGAGCGCAGTGGATTGCCACTCAGATCTTCATGATTTAAAGCTCTGAGTGGCACTGCAACGTTATGGACAGGCGAGTAGCTTATTATTATATTTTTACATTCCTTTATTTTAAAATAAATTCTACTTTGCATTATTTTCATATGAATAAAACTGAATGTAAAAAGACCGTCAAATTTTGGCTTAAGAGTAAAACCTACAATGATACCGAGGACTTGTTGGAAGTTATTTCATAATTTATATTTATATAATAAGTAATGTTTAACTACTTATCTTTTATAAATTGTAACGACTTATAACTACTTATCTTTTATTCGTTAAATTTATAAAATCTTTATTTTTTTTAAGCTTTGTTATGAAAAATGCACTATTATGCCTAAAATACAGGTACACATGTACTTAGTTTAGGCATCGCAATTGCACTATTAGGCACTAAGAGTAAAATGTTTAATTTTACCATGATTATTTTATATAATTTAGATTTTTTTTTGGTTTATTACTGTCTATTTTAATATTTTATCTTCAATTACATTGTTTTCATTATAATTGTATTAGATTAAGTCATATTGAAATAAATTTATCTTATCTTATCTTATCATCAGGCGCACGACTTGTCCGTCCCGTCATTTGAGCTCGTTTCAACTGAGCTTCGAATAAGTGTTTTATTTTGATCCCATACATATCTTTGGTCCATTTGAAACTGAATCTACTCTCTATCGACTCTACGAATCTATCTAAAAAAGGGAAATGTATACTCTATTCCCCTACAAATAGAAGCCATCTATCACGTACCATGATATGTAATATATAAAAATGATGCTATAAAATTTTTTGCAATATTCAATAAAACTAGTATGATAGACGGTTTCGTGGAATCGTAAAGGGCGGGTAGGCAAGTGAAGCGAGCCGGGAATGTTTCCACTTGACGTCATCTGAAACTATCGAGTATATAACCAGAAATAGAGACGAAATGTCATTTAATTTGTTTGAAAACTATTCTGCCACATTACTGTGACAACTGCGCTCCGATTGGCCAGCTCGAATTCGAAACAATTGACGGGTGTCGTCAATTTTAAATTAGAAACTATGACTAATCATTATCAAGATTTCATAGGGTTTACCATTTTGTTTGACATCGGTTCTGATAGTAATCGAGGCTTATGGTGCTTCCACTGTTTTTTTTCTTCCGTGGAAATAAATGTAGGATTTACAAATATTTCTCCCGGCCAGGGAATCCAACCCAGGACCTCTGCGTGGCATTCCAGCATGGTAACCGTTCGGCCACCGAGGCAGTTATGTGACATTATTATGAAATAAAAATTATTTAAGTAAGAATTTGATTCATGCCTCCGGATTCTCATTGAGTATGCAAAGGCTATTGATCAGTACTTTGCATGATCATAAATCAAAGACCAATTATCAAATAAGTCCTGACATGATCTATGACGAAGGTGTACCCCACAATATCTCCCTTACGGTAATATCCCTTCGGCCGCGTACGAAACCGGTAGTTCATTACCAGTTGCAAAAGTAACATAATTATATATTTTTTCTTTTTTATAATATTAATTGCACAGGAAAAAGACACAGAATACATTTAATATAATTTCAGTACAGAGTACTAAATAAAAAACCGACCTCAAAAGTACGTGGAATTACATTCAACAAACCCGGATTCATCCCCTAGTTCGCCACTACACGGGACTTGACACAGGAGATAATAAAAATCGGTTCTCACTACTCAAAGTATATTGAGAGAGAAAAACGCCTTGAATTGGAGAATAGCAAAATCAGCCATTAAAATAATTGTTCCTAATAATAATAAAATTTAGCGCTATTTATAAAATTGAATCTTCATGCGTGCACAGCCATCCATAGAGGTGAATGATTTTCTTCAAAATTAAATGGGACCACTATGGAGGTACCCTCTTTTCAACAAAAAAGAATCATGAAAATAACAAATACCGGACTTATCGCGTAACATATATACAAAAAATACATACATACGATGAAATGTGATTCCGTTTGTTTTGTAATTAGATGTTTTGCTGCTTTTCCCACACCACCGAATGGACCAGCACGTTATTGTTAGAGATATTACCTTTATTACAATAAATACAGAATATTTTTGGAATATACGAAGACGTACACACAGGTCAGTTGTTGGCGCTGTACTATTGAGAGTTGATATTTAAAAGTGATACTCGTATTTTTGCCCATTTGCTTGATGAATTGCCAGGGATGGATGGAACTTATTTCGTCTCTATTTCTGATTATATACTCCATGGAGTTTCAGTTGAATTGCAGTGATGGCATTCAGTCATTAAATCACTAACGATATATGTTGCCTTACTAAAACTACCATGGAAATTAGTATGATTTTCTTAATTGTTTAATCAACAATACAGTCTTCAAATGATATGTGCATAATATTAAGTAGTAGACTACACTATTAACGTGCAGAATACGAAAAGTACAAAATACTGCCACTGACACTCTGTCTACACACAATAGAGACGATTTAAAAATAGCGGACTCGGGTGCGTAGACTTCAGAGAGATTTACAACTGCGTCACTATAGTCAAGTGATATGAGAGTACATTCTAACTAAAAGATCATATAAAAAGGCTTCAATTTCACAAACGATGACAGATAACATGGGTATAATGGCGGGTGGAGAGAAATTTGTTTGTCATGCTACATCTAGATTTATATCGGTGTAGAAAAAATTTGTTATCGATTTCGCAACTATTTATATGAGTAAGGAGAGCGGTGAGGAAGGGGCGGGGGTAGGTAATTTGTCCACCCGCGCAGCACACCCTAGAGGTGTGCAGCCGGTGGGATGAGCAGCGCCGCACTCTAACGGGGACTGTAGGGCAGGACCTCTCGCTGCCGAGCGTGGTTGCCGCCATGCTCGATAGCGAGGAGTCCTGGGAGGCGGTGGCTTCCTTTTGCGCAGAGGTTATGTCGCAAAAGGAGGCCGCGGAGCGGGTGCGCGAGGACGCGGCCGACGCGCACCCGCTCCGGCGCAGACGTACGGGGAGAAGGCGAAGGCAGTTCGCTGCTCGCCTGATCCCCTAGTGAGACCACCGGTCTCTGGACAGGGACTCCGGAGTCTGCATTGCACG